TCCAAATGAGAAGGAGCATCTGGATCACTTCAAGTCCAACGCGCTAAGGTCATCTAGTGAAGTAACCGTTCTGGGATTCGTTCGTTCGTTTTGCAAGTCCACTCTGAGTGTGATATAGTGTAGTGCGGAAATTATCCATGGCCTTCTACTGCGTTGCAAGGGGCTTATGGAATTCTGTTCACGGTCAGAGCGTTGTTGACCAGGTGTATCACACCTGTCGTCACACATCTTAGGTTCGAAGATCACTCTTGGCGCCCAAAGCTGTTGCCCATCGGCAACATTCTATATGCCTTCCTGCCAACCTGCTGTGGTAAACGTTTAGTATCGTTAGTAGTGACACGCGTTTGTAGTGCGCCAGCTGAATTCTGACCGTCAATTCATGTTGTGCCGTAAAATTAGGTTAGCTCTACATCTTTTGTTACCGGTGTCATCACCGTGAAGGCATCTTTGTCTTACTGGGCCGGTCGCTTATGATATTCGCATCAACATTTATAGAACACAGCTCATTTTCTAGCGTTCTAGCCTCCTACGCTTTTGAGGATGTGAGCGGTGGCCAATAAGGGAGTACCACCCAAAACCGTTTTTTGAATCAACAATATCTCAAGCATTTGCGAAACCAAGCGGGTGTTACCACTTTGTTTTCATTGGTGAACTGATACTCTCAGCTTGCATTTGTCAAACAATCCATCGTCGATACATGTTTGATGGCAAACAGCAGCAATGACCACCTCATTGTGATCGATTCCGTTGACAGTGATAAAGTGCGCTCCTCCCCCAAACCGAACAGTTTCATTCGCCCTAAGTCCTTTTCACGCACTGATGTTATTCACAGCGAGAGATTTCCACCCACCAAAGTATAGTTATACAACTCCGGGCCCTCCGCGGTGATGTAGAGAATACGCAACAATCGTTTTCACAATGCTCGGTGCATATGCTTGACCAGACATGTAGTGTTGCTTAATGCTGCCATAAGAACCAACTAAAACGACGCCCGACCGATCTCCCCCTAATCACCTGGAACTATGGTGTGGATTGATCAACAGGAGTAATGTTATTATTCTCTTGCAAGCTGTAGAAATAGGGAAATTACGACCCTTTGTCAAGCAATGTATCCATTTACTTAGTCAGACATATCATAACCTTTCGTAGTACAGTGGAAAAATATCTATTAGACAGTTGGATAAATGGGTCGCAGCTGATTTTTCGGTGATTCGTTTTGTATAGATGACATTCAGGACTCAAGCATAGGACGGTAAGGCACCATTGATCCAGTCGATTTCACTCAGTAAAAGGAAATGAACTACAGGGTTTTCGTTTCCAATAAAATGACCAACTTATGGTGATTAATCGAACGATGCCCCCATTTAACCAAGCAGTGTGTCTCTTTTCCCTGTTTCACGAGTAATCTACCCGTATCCTCCCCAGGATTCGTAGCCCATGATGCTTGCCGACATTGTTGAAACAGGTCACTCTCATTGAGTAGACCAGTAGATGTGCCCCGTTATTGCAGCGCTCCAGTTTTAAGCCAGCCAATGATTATCAGTTGTCTTCGATGAGGTTCGCTAATCGCCCGAATTAGTATTGATCCCTCCTTCGAATGGATTGAGGTTGTGTGAGGCGGCTTCTTGTAGTCCACTTAACCACTAATTTTGAAGGTTTGGAATAGAACTAATGCAGACAAGAGGACCGCCTCTCTTTTTTTAAATCTAATGCGTGGCCACAATTTCAAATCACTTTCGTGAGGCTAGCACTGCTTAGATGTCATGAAGTGTGATTAACACTTCAAACTACACTACTTGTGGAGTTGCTACATCTCTTATGAGAAAGAAGAGAGGTGCAGTTGCCGTTACCATGAGCTTAAATTTATTTACTTTGTTTTTATGCTTGATATCATTTCTAGATGTGAACAAGAAAACTGTGATACAACAACAATGAAAAGATATCGACAACAAGACAGACCTTGTAACTGCAGACACGTCCTCGCAATGAACTATATCAGCCTTCAAAAGCTCACATTACCGACGTCTTACAGTAGCACCCTGGTTGTAAACGTTTTGGGCCGTTTAGACATAGGGTCAAGATAAAACTCGGGCAAAACCCGCGACGGATTGTGGGGTGTAACAATATTCAGTAATATTCAGCTAATCTACGGATTATTTGGACCGCCGAGTGAATATTTCGAGGATCCCAAGATACCCAGTTCCCTTGACGAGTGTAAACCAGTGTGATTTGCTGATTTGTTGTATTGGTCACTATTATAGTAACAGCCCACATAAGTATGGAATTAATCCAAATTTTATCATTTGGCCATGGAACAAAAATGTTCACCCTACAGTGGCCACGATATAAGAACGAGGGATCCATATCTATGTATTTATCTCTGAAGCATGACCGTATCGGATCGAGTGAAAGGGATCAGTGGCCGTCAGCGAAAAGAGATTCTTATGACCATGAGGATTACGTCTTGATGCATTTTAATTGGAGACAGGAACTAATAAAATATCGTGAAGCAAACCAAAACCCAAACTCATCCATCATGCTCCCGGAATGAGTAGGATAAAACCAACCGAACGTAAACCGGAGGATACCGGTATCTCTATTTGTGTATGGACTGTCTGGACCATACAAACAAGTTTGTCTACTGATCCTCACGCGGCATACTTGAATCGATTCGTAAACATATGCACATTATGTCTGTAGCTTATGAATCGACATAAACTTCAAGAGAAAGTTTGATGGGGACTTTCGCGAACTTCGGCAACATGGCATCAGTAGCGCATACGTCCGCATACGACAGCCTAATGAGCGATTTTGATGGATTTTCAGCTTTACGTCTACCCTGACACGCCTAATTATCAATCTCACTAATAGGGGATTGCCTACCCTACATCACAAAGGATAACTGGAGGGTTCTCAACTCACACATCAACTTGTTCACCAGTTCATGGCTATAACGGATATCTGTCGAAAATGAGGACCGAAGTCTAACCGGCTTGGATTACAACGGAGCAAGCAAACTCACTAACGGTGCACTCACATATCCCTTAGTTGACATTAGCCACTAGATCTACCTCACCATGTGTAAACAAATAGGCTGAAGGCTGTTTTCCTTCATGTGCTGATGGCAACTCAGTCAACAGTTGTTCCGCAACACAACCCAATTCCCGATACTCGCGGTTGACAAATCTGGGTCGTAAATTTACTTTGGCCCTCTACCGTTCATATTGTGACAAACGCAACTCATGCTTCTAAGCTGCCTCATCGGTTGTTGTGGGCTTCACTCCATATCCATTTCGGTTAGCCACCTGCAGTTTGCTTCGTACAGTCCCTTATTTTTATTGCATACTTCAGTGGTAGGTTGACGTTTGCTGACTCCGCCGTTTTGGGGCTCCATTGATTTAGATGGTGAGAAAATGAAGAATTACTCAGAATTAGCTTGATTACTCGTTTTCAGTTAAAATGGATCTTCATAGTGGCAATCATTTATTAATCGCCTTGGTTTGAGCTCACACCTTGATATCAATTTCAGTCACTTGATTAAAAATTAAATCAATTGTCGATTTTATACTTTTTCGGTTTGCTTTGTGCGAAGTAATCCATTCCCAAGCCCATGCAGAATGGCTGGAATGGATGAATTTCACAACCGGACTAACTTCAACGCTAAAGAGACAACCAAACTTAAGGCGAAATGATTGGGAACGGACTTAAAACTTGTCTGACAGTGGGCGAAATACCGGAAAGGACAAGTGTCAGACTTCTTAAGCATTTTAAACGTGGTCTAAATTAGACCGAAAATCCGACCTCAAATGACTGTTTCATTGTGTCACACCGCACTTCTGGTATTCGTAGTGCATGTTTCGCAAAGTAAATTTCCTCCAAGTCTGTTGGATCCCAGGGTTATTATTTTTTAAACTTAGTTTAATGAGAGCGTGGTTTTGTGTTGTAGACTGATGAATTTGACGCAACAAATCGGACAGTCTAATTAAAACCCTTCCATTATTCCTTGGTTGTAATCTTAGATCACTTGACATGGGAGGCCGAACAGCTGGAAAAATATTTACCAGCTGCCAGCTAATGGGATGGCGGTCTCGAACCACAGGGCTTACGGTTGCAGGAGTTGAGGAGCTGTTAGATCGGATATCAGGGGTATAGGGGGTTACGGCCTCACCGACTGTGCGTTCGCTGAACTGAACCGGCAGGACATCGCTTAACACCAGTTTCGGATTGGCTGCAGTAATCAGATATTTCTTTGCATATCAAAAACCTAAAACTTTGACGCTAATGAGGTAGCAGGTACCTGCATGAGGTATATACTCTTGTAAGTAACTATATAGCTTTCCTTGATATGAGCCAAAGCATTCTCGTCTCACTACGGGAAACATCGCAGCAAGTAACGGCCTCCTGTTTCCAGACTAACCTAAAGATTGGTCAGCGACACATGTGGTTTCTGAGTTGCGTGTTCCAACAACTCACAGTTTCAACACTCTGTGGGGGAGAGTCTTGGGCACACGCCGCCGGATTTGATTATTCTTAACCGGTAGTTGGGTCTTTCCCTAAATTCAGATCAACTTTAATGCCATGGGCTACAGGGTGTTCAGGTATTTTATAACTTACTATTAATTTACTTCTACACGGATGGCCCTAAACGCGGCCTCTCATATAAAGGCTCGTGGTTTCGCATGTTTCGCGCGGGGAGGATGGCATTTTGTGTGCAGGATAAATTCGGTGGACTCGATTTCCCACGTTATGACAATATCAACCGTGAATAAAATCCAAACTTGAGACACGCAGTCCAAAGAACCTGAAAATTTATAAGAAGGGACGGGCCAATTTTGTATCGGTGCGACCAAACATGAAGTTTACTTGTTGTTAATGCTAACGGAGGCGCTCACTCTATCCAGAGGTTGCTTGTGCGTCCAAACTAAATGTACTGATTTTTGAGGTGTCATTCACAAGATAGGAATTCACGCTGAGACACTAAATGTTTTAATGCTGGAAGTGTTTTGGTTGTATACTGACAAATGGATGGACGAAACATAGAGAGGAATAGCTTCAATTGATAGTTTAGGTAAAGTTTTATGAAAGAACACTTAACAGACAGTTTTGGTCACATTCGTTCACTTTGAGGCGCTTTCATTACTGTTGTGGGAAAAGGAGCTTTTGTGTTAATACAGGAACCAGCGTGAATAAAATGTACTTGATGACCACAATCGTCTTCTTCTGCCACAGATTTTCACAATCCGACGTAGTTTCGGTTACCGATGTTTCGTTCATCGAACTTTCGGGCGTCACATCTTCGTCTGGCTGTCCGGCCGTCGTTGGTGTAATAGTCGGCGGGCTGGTGGATGACGTTACACAGTCTGCTTGTGTTCCAGCCTCGTAAGGTCTCGCTCCCTCGTAGTTGCCGCTAAATGTCAAAATTGAAAATAAGTAATAGTCTAGTGAAGGTCAACCTCAAAGTACAAGGGCACCCTGGACCAAACTTTGAACCTTTACCTCGTCTTACCAATAGCCAAGCGCGTAATTAAGTTTTTGATTATTGTTGCCTCACCCAATATACGTAGCATTCTAAGACTTCGACGCCTATACGTTCACTGATGCATGTGGGAAGCACCTAGGGATCTCAAGCTAAGTGAGGGACAAAAGCCCTTTAACCGACGTCACTGAAATTGGTGACTTTTTTCACATTTTCGAAGAGTGAGGCTTCCTTTTAAATGCCTACAGTCGCTAATTGAAGTGAACATCTGAAAAGAGAAAGGTGCTGTAAATACACTTGGACGCACACCGTTATCTTGGTGGTCGCTCAGAGACAAATTCAAATGTAGGCGAAATATGATGGGCGAAGCTAGAAAGACAGAACGATCATTCTAATAAATACCATCTGCCACAAGGTATTATACTTCTCCCCACTTTTACTGACGTGCTGTGTAACAAACAAGAAGGAACAGATTACGGTACTTACGTGTGCCACTTCCGCATCCTACTGGTACTTGCCCACAATAAAAGCTTAATATTTTCCGTAAAACCCTGCTTCATCTCCTAATAAAAGGCTGTGGTCTAGCAATTGTGTACACTGAGAATATTGGAAGCTATAACACAACTTTGCCTCGACCAGCTTCTTTGTCTACTGAGCAATAGAAAAATTGCCGCCCACACATATATATACCAACAATAGATCGGAGCAGGACAGTGTTGCTTGATTTTTTTTGTCCACGATGATCCTCTGTTCGTGAGGTACCAACTACATCAAGAAGACCTTCGTAATACTTAAACTTCCTTTTGAGAAATCCCCTCCGTTTGGCAGGGACAGATGGTGTTGCATGTTGACCCCACGCAGTGAGGTTGGGAAACAAGCTGAAATGATATCGCATGAGATGAGAGTATAATAGATTTTCTTCTCTTCTTCTTCTTGGACAATTGATTGAAAACATTGTCCCTAGAACTACTGTTAGTTCACGTTATTTGCCTCAAACAAATCTTGAAAAGCCGCTTTCAACAGTTGTTGTTCTTTTGTTTTCTCAGATACGGCAATAATAAATACAGCTCTATAAGTTGACGGAAATTACTACTCATAAAAGACAGTACTATTCCCATGAACACGCAAAAGTATATAATTTTGTTAAATTCTGTTTTACAACTTTGTATTGACCCGATTGCAAAAGCTTATCGGTGTCAGATTTTGTAGGAAGTAGATGATGAACGCATGAACGTAAAAGGATTCTGCTTTAGAAAAAAACCTTTTAGGGAGAAGTTTTTACAAGCTAGAAGGATTCTATCCTATTTCGACCTGTTAGTGCCACTCTTCCTTGCACCATAGAACGCTCAGCTAAAAATTGACACAAATGTGATGGACTTTCTCGTCCACTCAATTTTTAAATACGTGATAAATTTCAGTGGAATAGACGTAGGGGTTTCTTAATTCTTAAATATAGCGTTTAAGGCAGAAAAGAGGACCCGGACACGCGATGCAACAATCTATGGAGACCAGTCCTCTGAGACGACCAATTTTTCTGATCCGCTCAGGTTCTATTTACAGTCTTGCTAGAGTTTCTTATCTTGCTCAAGCAAGGAACCAAAGAAAATTGACTCATGTATCACCAGCCAACTAGTCTCCATATAAAACGAAATGCCTGCGTCATTTCATTGCCATTTCATCGTACGACTAAAAATCAAGGAGAGACACCGGGCTATAACGGATGGTGCAGTATGCATCCAGTCTAGAGCGGCCACATTCGTTCGGTCACTTCGGCTAGGCTTTAACGTATTATGAGGATGGAGATGAATTCATAAATCAAATTCCTAATGAGGTATGCTTATTCGTACATCGTCTTACGCTTATTTTGCTGGCATTTTACTTGCATGTAGTAAGGGTGGTTCCAGTTGCTACAGGTGGAGGAGATCTGGATAGGCATAGGAAGCCAAGTCAGAATCACTTAGGCAGCTAATGTTGAATCATTATGGTTGGTTCCAACCCAGCCCCGTGTCAGCTGAAATCAACTACGTGAATTACTGATTTCACAGCGTAGAAGTGATCCAGTATGCTTAAAGACATAAGAGATAGGACAGTAATATGTAATTTGCTACACCATATTACCCTATCAAACTCCTCTTCAGAGCAAGCCCCTCCCATGCCTCAGCAACCGCACACTGTAAGACTAGTTCAAATAGACACGTTAATTTAACGGTTCGGTCAAGTTGAATTTTTCACTCCACACCATTTATCTACCATCATTCGCACCGAACATGTTGATGCCATCTGACGTCACAAGCGCTTCTGAAGCATCGGTGATCAAAAACCGGAAGACGCCTCACACCATCTGTCCACCAACCATACAACAGCACAGCCACTACTATAGCCTGGTAGACGCAATCACTGAGACCCAGAGGTATGCCTTTTTGGCGCCACAAGTGACGCAAATTATCAAAAGTTATTCGGGTCTTTGAGAATCGTACGCTGGCCGTGCCGGACGCACTTGCTCCAGAGTTACTACAACTACCGAGGTATGCGAAATTCTCCACAACCTCCAGTGATTCCTTTTGAATTGTAGGGTGTATTTTCAGAGGCTGTGCGGCTTGAAGCATAGCTTTGCACTTTGAAGGTACAAGGCAAATGCTGAAAGATGGTATGATGGCGTTCAGTTTATTCAGCAAGGCTCGTGCTTATTTTTGGTCTTCAATGATGAAGACAACGCCTTCCGCGAACTCAATAGCTACGAGATTCTCAAGAGCAACTATTTCAACATCGGGGTTTTGAAGACCTTCTAGCGTTAGCATCATCATTTCATCACTAAGGAAATTGAACAAGAACGGCGAGGACATCCTTATCCAACACCATGTTTTGCAGGGAAGCTCTCGGAGATCTCACCATACACTCTTACACGTCAAGAATTATGTGAATAGAAGGATCGGAATATGTACACAAACTTTTGCGGCACCACCGGTTGAGCAAGTGTGGTTAACAGCGCTGACCGATCGACAGAATCGAACACAACATTAAAGTCTAGGAATATCAAGATTGTGGGTTGTTTGTACATGTATGTTGCTCCAAAATCAACGGAGTATGATGATTTGGTCGATGCAAGCTCTTTCAGGCCGAAATCCCGCTCGATGCTCACGGGTCAAATATTCCAGTAGCGTCGTAAGACGACAACCATTTGATGACACCCAAATTCTTGTTCTACTGGGAGTCAGGCTAACAACTCTGTGGTTACCACATTCATCGCGAGTATCCTTTTTGAAAACGCACTATTATGGCCTCCGGAGAACTCACCGACATCCTCGAATAGAGCAGTTGGGAGGCTGTTAGGATTAGGAGCACGATGACACCTGAGTAGGGGAATACACTCAGACACTTTTGAGGCTGAGGCTGGTTCTACCTTTACAGTCTTTCTCTGTTTTTATTTCCAGGAGCCCGGATTTGGATTAGCAGATGGCCAAATGAATTGTTGTTTGAAATGTTGTGCCCAGATGGATATCAGACAGCCATTCTGGTCCCTGATAATTCATTGACAAGAGGCTACCAACGACCAATCGGACAAATCTGGTGGTACAGACCGTGGAAGCTTCCAGCATTTTTCGTATCTTCCATTTCTTCCCCACGTTGGGTCCACCAGGCATGGACACCCAGTTTCACCTGGAGTCAGGTGGCGGGTTTTTGTGGTTGCGGCCAGAAGGATTTTGTTGCCGGGTCTCCAGAAAAGTCAAAGGCTTCTGTGCTGGATACTGAAACGCTTTTGCAAAAAAAACGCTTGACGCAAGATATCTACATCCTTTATGCATCGGGTATGTTGAAATTCGGTTGTTCGCGATAGCTGCGCGATATGGAACTGGTGTTCAGCATGACATTTCCCCAAATCTCTCCAAATCCGTCGTACTAGATCGCTGTGCGCAACCAAGTGTACATTTACGTTGGCTTAATTTCATTTATGGCGTAACCAGAAAGCCTAGGGTGACTTGGGTTGAGTCATGAAGGACTCAGCCATTTGGATCCAGGGGGTTGATTTCAGAAGCTAAGTTTGTCCGAAGTGGCAATTGGAAAGTCCAGTAAAACAGCCAGCCGGATATTATTCCAAATTATCACACAAACTTGCTGTGAACCTACAGATGCTTTGAAATGTTGAATGGCTCTAATTCAAGTTTTATCGAACACTGAATACGAAACAACCAAAAGAGGATAAGTGTCTTCAGAAATTAACGGACAAAATCGTAAACATTTTCATTGTCTTCCAAACACACTTATCGTAACGAAGAAACGATTCCCTTCAGAAGAAACTTACTGAACTAGGAAACAAGTCTGATCGGTGTCGTTGAGGGTGGCTATGCATACCGAGATGTGCCTCAGGTTAACTCAGAAATGCAAATGAAGCGCCATTAGGAAGTACAACATTACCAAGCGCATTGGGGAAGCACCTTTCTCAAATTGGCCGTAGCCCAATAAAAAATGAATCTTCCCTTGGAACGTTGCATATCATATTGCACATTAGGAGCGTAGTTTAACATGAGCATACGCTAATTTGGACGGCCTAAATTTAATCCGATATTCTCAAGGAATTCTCGATCGCTTTGCTGTGGTTTCGAACCAAACGAGCTGCACACAGACGGGTTCATAAAGTCATGGTTCACATTTAGCGGTTCGTAAACAAAACAGTTTTTGTTCGTTCATTTGAATCCACTGATATACAGTAAAGTGGGAAAAACGAAGTTTCCCATACAAAACTCACGGTGGTTTGTAGTCGCAGATGAAAACTGTTGTTCCGTTTTTAGGACATTCTGTGACCCCACATCCTAGAAGAGTTGAACTAGCCCAAACCATCTAAAACGAATCAAAGTTGTACGGCACCTTGAGCTCCGGGAAAAAGTGTATATTACTGTAATAGTTGTTTAAATGATGAAAAGGTCTTTTCCTGGCGAAATTAGTGTCCAACATGTTCCTCATAAGATACAAACAAATTGAATGCTTCAGAGAATCCTTAAATGGAGACCTAGAAAACGAAATGTTTACGACTCGTACATAACGTTGGCAAAACTCCGTTGTCACAACTTCCAGATACAATAAACCTGAGCTGTTTTCACTGCAGAAATTCAAAAACTTCCACGGGGCATGCCCAAGACACTGAATGCATTCATCAGAGGGCAATGCATTGTTCGGCATTACAAGAGTATGTTCACCGGTTATTAATTCACCGGTTAATTGATCCATCAAACATATTCATGTATATAACAAACCACTCGGCCGAAATTTCGATGGAAGTTACCATTTTGTTTGACCTTGTAGAATTTCTGCTAATTACGACGGTTAACACGAGATGTAACAACAAACTGGTAGGCGTGTAGCTGGCCTACATCGAATGCATGTGCTTAGCCTCTGAGACTTAGTTGGAATGTCCCACAGTTTCTGCATATTTCCATTTTCTCATCAAAACAAGGTGGGGCTCAGAACAATTGCGCCTTATTCAGAGGTACGAAGTTCTGATGAACTGTGCTCGTTTCCGCTTTTCATTCACCACAGTGTCCAGGCAGACATCTGACACACCAGGTGGAAAAGTTATTGGAAAGGCTGTTGATGCTAGGAAGTGTTTTCAACTGCTTTCCCGTATAACCGAGGGCATTTATCGGTCTCGCGAAAACTTATACACGGCTCGCAGAAAGCTAACTTTCCGGAATAAACTGACAATGCAAAATCTTCCGTGTCATCAAACATTTATTCACTTGGTGAGCACTGACAAAATAAATGAGTTTCGTACAAGGCCTGGTGAATAGACATTTCATGACGCCTTGGAATCTATTAATATATATTTCCCGAACCTCACATGAACGATCAACAGTTGGAATTCTCCACATTGGGTACTGGTATCCTAAATGAAATTCTAAACTATTTCCCGGCGATTTTTAAGACAATGAAACAGATTAAAATTTCATGCAACTGGAAACATCTAACTGAGAGGGAAATTTAATGGTTTCTCGTTTGCTTGTAGGCCATGAGTGCGTTTGTAAAATCAAAATACCTGCGTGTAGTGCAAGCAGGTCTTTCCATGGGTGCAGGTGTTAGCTTCGAGATTATAGTCCACGTGTTCCGCCATCCACAAATTTACGGCTCTGCATATCAATAAATAGGAGGAACAGAGCGGCAGCATTTGACTATACATAGACTAAAGTATTAGAAAGAGCAGTGCTAATAAATAAGTTTTTGAAAGTTTTTAGAGAATAAGGATACCTGGAGACTTAAAATGAAACCCTAATCTGTATAGGACATCAATCTACGCTGAGCAGTTCAGTTACCGTCGCATTCTTGTCGACAAATGGTAGCGTTCCGCACTTATCGATGCTCATAGAAGATTCAAACATTTCGACAAGTAGGCGGATGCCATCACACTTGGCCATATGCGATTGACGAATTGTTTTTCTTTCACTCGCGACTCATATAAGCTTCGCAGGTGATTCCTTATATCATACAAACTTGTGATACAGGAGGACAACTGACTGGGGAAAATGAACTTTGTTCGCCGTCTTTTTTCCACATTTACGATCCGGACACAAAAGATATTGAGAAGACGTCTTGCAGAGTCATGTTGGTCAACAAATTTTGTTACGTCAGAATGACAATGGGTAATATTCATAGTAATCTCAATTCTTCCCCTTCAGGCGTTCTTGTTGATATAGCGCTTGTACATTATCCCATTACATTACAGTTCATTTCCACCCTTAACAGGTAGAATGACGGCCTCGACATTACCAACAGGAAACTGCAGAAACAACGACAGACGAAAGACGGTTTTTTAAATAAATACATAGTAGGATATTTTATAGTTTGGTACTTTCGTGGTGCTGGAAACTTGGCCCCAAACAATGCTATTTGGATTGTTTTTCACGGACGATATCAACCCTAGAATTATTCCCCTCCTCGGCAGGAACATCAAGGCGAAAGAATATGAAGCTAACAGAATGCTTCACTCTGAATCCTGAATAATACACCAAAGAACAAAGAATGTAGCGCTTTTCAAAAGCAGTTTACCAGTCTCTGAACAGCACTTTCAGCACATACAGGAGAATCACATGCATTTTCAAGATGCATGTGCGAGAAGCAAGAAGTAAGCGATGATGATTTTCATGACGCATGGGGGTAGAAGGAGAAGAGCAAAGTGTTTGCTAAGAACGGAGAGATAGCCATAAAGGAAACTACTCACAAGGTTGCTGAAAACTCTTCGACAGCCCAAGACTGGCTTCGCCCTTCTTGGGTCTCATCAGGTAGGCGCAATCCTCGAGTTTCCGACAATCTCATATTTTACTTGGACCCAAATTGGACTGTTTTCGAGAAATACACTCATTTGCAAATCAATTTCGTTTTCATGAGAGACTAAACTGAATCTGTCGTTTATGACATGTAGTTTCCTCCATAAAAATGTAATGCGGTATCTCGAATATTGTGCCAACTGAATCAGCACATTCAGTTGTAGGATATCACAAACGAGAGATTCAGTTGAATCTCTCGTGAAAACCAAATTGATTTGTGAATGAGTGTATTTCTCGAAGAGATAGTCACCTCGCTTCCGGGGTTTGGCGTTACAAAACCATCAGTGGGAGCTCTTCAACACTCCCTCACTTTTCGCCTGATCGGTCATTCTTTCCCAATGAATAGTGAAGTAAGTCGATTTGTCAGTTCTGTTTGTATCCCAAATGACTACGTTCCACCTTCACTAGGCACTATTTTGATGGCTGATTTCGGTGAAGTTCAGATGGATAATTGTACACTATGGGTGTATCGTTTAGTTATTTCATAAAGAAGGTTATTCATAGACTCACTGTTCTACACTGCTTGCGAAAGCAGCGTTTTGTCCTACACCTTCCGATTCTCCATGACCGAATATACATTTATCCGACCATTTCTGTGCTTGAGCTTCCACAGCTTCGTCCCAAGTCTAAGTCGGGGAGAATATAAACGTAATAAAATGTTAACAACATCTTTCGTCCCGAATAAAACAATAAAACGGAGTAAAAACTTTTTGTTTCGATATAACTTTCACACTCGAACATCTGTTGACGTCACCTGCTGGTCTGGAGATCAGGTTTTTAGTCATCCTGGGGATTAGTAGGGTGAGCACACTTGATGTTACCAAACAAAACTGAAACAAATCTATAGTTCCCGGTTAGACCGCTAGCAACTGCAGTAGGAAACGTCCAATGAAAATGCGAAATCTCCCATTTCAGCTGTCAAGTTTACCCCCAAATCCTGAGTGGTAGATTGAATGCTGCTGCACTGATAGGTGTGCATTCACCTCGTCAGAAATGCCAGGGCATACTTAACTGACGTTGACATAACAAATTCAGTTCAACAATTCAGTTGTAGGAGTTGGAATTTTTTCAGTCGCCTTAGATTGCGAATAACATACCATTGAGGGGTCGGGCGCTCCGGGCCACACAGCAAATAGACCATTCAACTATTTGGTAGAATCTACTCAAAAGGAACAAATATCTCGCCGCACAATTTGCAGGCGAAACCTGTGGATGTCAAAATAGGTGGAATCATTATCATACTGCTGAAAATATAAGTTGTTAAATGAATGCCTGACTCAATTCACTAGGATTCTCCCGAATTTACCGACCTCGTTTGTTTTACTCAACTGGATGTGGGGTCCTCTCACTCAAATTGGCCAACTTTTTACATATCATCACGTCGTCTTTCGAAACGTATTCAAGTTTTTATTATAAAGCGAATACAATGGCGTTGTATGTGGATCGCAGTGTCTTGACACAGAAAAGCATTTTATGCCAAGCATATATTGATTAGGTTCAAACACCCGTGACTCCATTATAAATCGCCCGATTGTCAAGTCGGTCCATTTGCGCAATGGACTTGAGGAATGACGCGTTCTACCGTACAAATCTATTAACACAAAGATATTTATGCTTGATGTTGTTCGTTTCGCTGTGGAGCATTGTGACAAATAGTGCCTTGTAAAATCCCACCAGATCTGACACGGGGTCGTTCGTAATCGGTTATGTTGCGCGACTTCCGTGTTTTGAACACTAGCAGATTTTGAGTTTAAAATTGTGGTTCTGTTTTGAGTTTTCGCAGCAATAATTTTAGTTTTGTGGGCAACCAGTGGCAGTTACTCCAGTTTGGCACCTCGTGAGCCGACAAGCCAGACAAGTTATCGCCCCTCGGGCCAAAATCGTTTTCGCCAAATAAACTCACTTGCATTCCAATTTGATTTTGACGGAATGCTCATCTGAATTCCGGCCAAGTCTCTCGTTTATAATATCTTTCATATGAGCATGCTTCTCAAAGGACACGTCATGGTTCATTTGGACCGGTATTAGAGATACAGAGTTTTCAAGAAGGAAACTAAACTTCGGCAATCATGTGAGTATCTCCCTTCGATAACTACTTCTTTTTTAGACAGAAGATTTATGGAAAGATAATTTCCGTACTCATCCACTTTGTCCAAATGCAAAGTTGGCAAAGTTATGACTGGCTGATTTTGCCAAAATGATATAGTGTTTAGATTTCAACCTGAATGTATCTCTCTATGATATTCAGGGGTGTATACTGCTCAATTTGTTTGGTCAACAAAACGCAGTAAATTCGACTACTTTGGGTTTAATATAGATGAGCTTTGATTTTGTAACTTCCAGAAACATGATCCCGCAGAATTCTAATACTGTTTCATTTTTTGGCTCCAATGGACCTTATAACATTCACAATTTTGAAAGAAAGGTAACGCATCCTGGGCTTCGTAATGTCTAGGGTATCACGTTGGCTCGTGTATGGCCGGAATAACGGCGCTACAACGACCGCAGCCTTATTGAAGATGTCGTCGCATAAACCAAGCTGATCCATACAGAAAAGCCAAGAAGAGTTGTATTGCTGTTTTTTTCCTATTAGAAATCATCAACAGTCCAAACCACGCGAAAAGTCTCGAAAGCGCGAAATCCCTGCTGGTAGAATAACCGTTCGACCGTGCCCAGAAAAGATGCAGCATCACTCTCTAGTTATCTACAAAATTAACTCTGATGGTTGCACGTGTTCAGGCATGGGTGGTGCAATATCCTACTTAATTGAGGGGTGGTTACACTGTGGTCAGCCGCTCGTGTCCTAGCAGCCTGAAGGTCTCGGGGTCAAAATCGCCTCCTGGAGTCTAGTGGAATGCGCACTGCTTATAATTCCTAAGAAGGATGAAACGACTGTGCACTAATTCGCTATGCACCAAACTCGACCAGGTGCCAAAATCACCATAATTCCAGGTACGTTTTCGGGCAGTTATTTGCGAATTATACGAATGATAGGTTCCCGAATTCCTCCATACAACCGAATTTCATCTTTCGACTAATCTCAAGGTATCCAACAACATATGGTACATATCTGCAGACAAGTTCATTAGGCTGGCTCCCATCAATGTAAATGTTAAATACACACTGGAAATGGAGCGACGGTGATAGGAATGATAAGTCCATTATTTTGGATGTGCAGGTTGAAGTCTTTGTAGTGATTCCTCGTAAGCAAGAAAAAAGAATGAATTAACAAACGATCCGAAGTGACAGCCGATCAGGTTTGATTACTCCGGTTGTATTTTATCTGTAAGAGATACGAAATCTACTTCGAAGAGAATTTTCTCTATTTACCACAGCTAGACTGAAATCTCTTATTCTAACACAACGACCATAAGTAAATCAAGTCATGAGAATCACCTATGTCGCTTATGTCATCAAAGCATTACTTAAATCCGTGAATCCATGAACTATGATCCCCTCCTAAGTTGGCACTATGGTCCGTGGGCATTCGAGTTGACATATGGGGCTCTCTCAAGTTTATTCGTTTCAAACACGTAAGGCACCAAGATACCCGAAATATCTGAACGTCGACTGTAAATCAGGGGACCTGTTTGCCTTAAAGCTACTGCTTAGCTGGCTATTTATGGACGTAAAATAAGCCCTACTGTATTTTACGGTTCGGAGTTTGCATAAAGCCCTTTTTTAGCACTTTACCCACAAGATTAGCAAGAAAACATTTTACCAAAATGGCGACCTTTGCTCCATTCCTGTGGACAAAAATACTTTTCCTCTTTGTGTACCTCAAATGACTCAGATTTACTGTTAAATCGTACGATTGTGGGGCACATCTCATCAGATGATGAATCACGATCAGCGGCACTTCAATTGATGGTATCGAGGTTGCACAGGTCGGGTGCAGCACAGTATATTTTGTCGAGAAGGCTAGTAACAGAGGGTTTTCAGCACACAGCACCATTTTTAATGAGTTTTCAAGGTATGAAGTTTGAAAGCGATCACAAATCGAATGAACAGCTGCCTTCAGTTACTCGATTGTAAATTCTAGTGGTTTGAACTAAAGCAAAGTGAAGAAATCAAGGACTACCGCCTGTCTGACATCCTCCAGAGTATTAAATGGCAGGTATAAATGTGGGGAGAACAGTCATTCTAAGGTACGTTTCGGGTCACTCCGTGTTCGATCGCGTCAATATGCACAGAAAAAGACACCAAAAACTGTATGATAAACGAGCCTGGGCTTGGCAAGCATTACTCACCATGAGTTCGTAATTTCCGCGAACTGGAGGCTGTCCAGAAAGCGTGCATTTTCGTATTTTCTCTCTAAGTTCGTTATGCATATCAAGAAACTTCGTTTTTTGCTCCTGGGTTGTTTTGGCGCGCGATAGCTGGATTGAACATGTCAGTAGTAACACGTATGCCGTCAGTTTGATCTCACACATGCTGAGAATTGCTATCAGTGGATGAGATACCATACGTATATATATATATGTATTCAGATCGATTCAGGTGTAAATTGGCGACTTAAGTCGCGAAATATTTTCTGCACACAAACACTTGATTTCCATTGGAACAATGGAACCCTTTCGTGGTTTTGCACGCTGGAAGATGAGCAAATATCGTATTACACAGCAGGAAACTCGAAGTGAACATTTGAAGAAGCACGCTGATTTTAGTTGATGGAAAATCGTAGAAACTGGCTCCAAATATCACCGCGCCAAAAATTTAGCTGCGAAAAACCGTCAGACAATTTCCGTTTTTCATCTCATGGTCCAGCAGTTCGAGGAAGTCGGTAAGAAATCTTCCCATTTCTTTACTGAATCACCAAAATCCATAAATATTGGATGCCAAATTTCAAGAAACTTCTGTACGACTTATCAATGTAATCCGACGGCTGACCAGTCGAGATTTCGCTGTTTGACGAACCTGACCCCCACCACACGTATCCTTCGAAATGCGCCACATAATATGTAAATTGGTTGGAATTCAACGTGAAATGTCAAGTAAGACTTGAGTCACCGCGAATTATTACTGGCTTTTGTATAAGTCCCTGAAGGGAAGCTCCGTTATTCCTGCCGATATCAACTTTGGAATCCCATGCTAAAAGACCACATGGTATACAAGCTGAAACACTATGCACATCGCGCCATTTCCCACTATATCCCCCAAACTACTGGTGCATCGGTGATAATACTGGGTTGGGCATGCGAGTAGTAGGTTTTCTTCTTGTAAATCCACTTCGCGTCTCTTGAAAAGTGAGGTCTGTTGCGGAATTTGTGGAGTCGCATTTGCGTGGATTTGAGCAACAGTCAATGAATATCCGGGAAACTTCAGGAAGACGCGTTCAAGAGAAGGTTGAATGTTCAGTTTTTGTAAACAAGATGCAAATGAGAGTTTGCTTCCCTGTCCAATAGTCCATAACTGGTCAGCTGGCATTTTCTAGCGAATAACTCCGCAGCGAAGGCCTTCTTCCTTCCACTGGTACGGATAGTTCGTCTGCGTTGCCAGAGGAAGCATTTTCTTGAATCATTCTTAAATCCCATAGCATACTGGATATCATGAGAAGACCACATATAGGTCGGGTATTCACTCTGTTTTATGGCCAGATATGAAACGTTTTCCACTCGATGTGGTAACAAGTTGGTGTACTTAGTTCATGAACGACATTACAAAACAAGTGGGTTTTTGGCTTCCCGATCAGATGACGGAGATCTTTACCACAGAATATTTAAAAACTATGCTCTTCACGCCCCTTGGAATGGCCGAGAATCTACACTGAATGGTCGGTCAAGTGCTGTCAAAATAGCTAAATACATGAGTAAATATCCTTATGTGATCGTATAAAACCGGGCGCAGCAGACAATTGTTTTGATGAAGCCACAACACACCAACACAGGTACACAAGAAATAAGTGGCTGAACTATTCGAGCTAACCTCACAAATTTGATCCCCCATAGGTCGCATTGTCTCTTACTTTACCTCTCACGCAGAACGCTCATGCACAATAACTTTACAGATAATTTCCGGCTGCGTTTGCTAGAGTAAGTACGTTCTTAAATCAGTGAAAGATTTTATTGCAGTTTTGAAAGCATGAGAAAACCCTGCTATTTTCGACTAAGCAGGATTGGACCGGCTATCCATTTTAGTTTATGGTCACACACGAATCGCCTCCCACCCATTTGAATATCAGTTTAGAGTACAAACTTCAGGAACAGCACCACAAAACATATGCACGAAGCATGCTAGGATCTGAAGGGCTTTATTTTACCGGGCCAGTTAGACGCTATCCAAATGGCCGAATACATGACTGAATATTCTCATGTCGTTGTAGAACAGTGGGAGTTGCAAACATTTCTTTCGATAGGGGTTTGACTGGCAAATACAGTTACAAAAAACGTCTAAACGTCTAAAACATCTGGAAACAAGCAGTTTTGCGGTAAAGCGTAAGACAAAAAGGGCATATGTAAGTCACTTATTTGGGGTTCATCAAAACCATGGTTGGCCATCCAAGTCAGATCCTCCGTCCTCGTGATGATGATGTTTGTTATGTTGCTCACCTCCACTGTTGAAATTGCGTCCTGTTTAACGGCCTTGAAACGAATCGGTGGCATCAATTCTTCATCCTCAGCAGGATTGATACACTGACCTGTGAGGACCAGATGGATCAAAACTGTGCTTGTCACTTGCTTCTGCTTCCACTGCATGCGGATATGTGCCTAGCAATCCACTGAGAAAGGTATCGAGCCGTCCGACCGATGTAGCTCGCAGAACTTCCACAACCGAACGAATATGTCACGATATTGGTGACGTGAATTGGAATCTTATTCTTGTTGTTTGTGTTTGGCAATCGGTCTCTGGTGATGTGGATCATAAGGCCCATAACTCTATGAGCTTACGTGAGATTCGCACTGCCGGTGATTCCCAACAGGGATGGAAAAGCCGTACAGTGGGCTTTGATTGCGTGGAACCTTGTGGCGTATTTCCTAAACTAGCTACAACACGTGTGTCGACTGATTCGACTAAGGATCCAGTTATCAAGGTTTTCGGTGAATTTCGACGTATCTACTTGTCCTAGCTCAGCGTTTCCTTTGTCATCAAAGACTGAGATTTTCCACCTGTTCAAAACCTAACGGATAAATCATGAATAACTCTCAGGGCTTGTAATTTGCGGAAGTATTATCGCGTGTAGATAATTTCACACTACATTCTTCGAATAAGTCACAATCATGTGAACTCCGACTGAGTCTGGACTTGGACTGGGGGAACAAAATTCTTAAGCGTTAAAGTAGTATACAGTGATTTGCTACGATGTGCAGTTAACTAGAAAAGCCCTTCAAACCTGGTAGGGTCTAGGCCCAGCTTAATCCAGTCACGTCTCTCTTTTATGATGGCTTCCTTTGACTGAATATGCTGCAATAGGCCGCCACAAAATGAGGATCACCATAAACGGGAAATCCAGCTGGATTCATCTGAGTTTCCTGTTGGAACCGAATTCGCGTGCATATGTGTGTTTGTCGAAATCTATTTGAGAACATGGGGTTGAGGAAAACTCAGAGACCGCATCTACCTGGTGAGCCCCAAGATAGGTGGAACCGGTCGTGGGCCGTCGAAGGATTTTTTTAGCAACTTTGAATTTCGTTTAGGAGATTCGCTGTGATATATTGGGTGTCCTATTGAATGGAATATGAAGCGCCCTGTTGCGGCACTTTCGGGTAAAACGAACCATCATAAACGGGAGATTCAGCCGGATTGCATGAAAAGAGGAATATGAAGCGCCCTGTTGCGGCACTTTCGGGTAAAACGAACCATCATAAACGGGAGATTCAGCCGGATTGACATGAAAAGACAAGTTTTGCTATTATTCACATTGTTTGCAACCATACTGCTTCAGGGAATCAATCATCCAGAATCGCCCATTAACAGCGGGTTCCGCAACAAACACAGGTGCGAAAATATGAAAATTTGCTTTTGAGCGTACCAAACACGGGTGACGCCTCGAATGCCATTAGAAGTGAGACAAGTAATCCGATATTTTTCTCTGAAATGACAACATGAAACTATTGCACGCTATTAAGGGCAAAAAATTAAGTGAAGCAAATTATCGCTCCACCTACGTTCGTAAAACCCTTCACCGAAATATCCACACCAATCGAGCTATGGATGACCTAAAGTACATAGCGTTCGCGAAGCACATCATCCAATACTAAAGTTCAGAAAACTAGGAGTTTCCGTAATTGATGGAGGCTTGTTTAATAGACAGATGTAAAGTAAACCTCCAAACGCACCGCATGAAAACAATTTGAAAGGCTGGAAGAAAGAGGATTCGGGTGATGTTTTGTGAATCACATTCAATGCCTCTGGATGGCACTTTTCCTTGTGTTGGAATTAATGTGAATAAGCTATTTTCGCTGATGATGGCGGAGTTTACTACCACATGTTCCGGGTTTGTATGTCCACGGAAAATAAGAAACGTAAACTTTCCAGAGGCTGTACCATTTCTCAGAATACAGTTAATTTACTTGATAAGGTATTTCCAACTGAAATGTGGGGTGCAGCTTAAAAATAAAAGTAAACAGCACTTTTCTGTGTGCCTTCAGTCAGATGTGATTAAACGAGTTCCCGATGTGAAGATTGCAGCAAATCACTGGGAGCCCGTATTGCAGGCATTTGAATGGGAATGAAAAATTATCGGTGGAAGTACCGGAGGATATTACGATTCTTGCTGAGCATTCGGGTTCAGAATTATCATCCGATTCTACGGGAAAACAGTGCGTTGACTTAAGCTATCAGGTATATTCTTGCGCAGTGAAATATTGTTGAACAAATCATGGCACAACGGACAAAATGGAGTCTCCTGTGGTTCATTTGTTCCTATTTTTATCAAAATATACAAGCCTATGTACAAGGAGGTTGTCAGCAAGGTGCCATTAAGATCATGATACACATCAGTTACTCAGAGTAAAGACTTATGTTCTGTATGGTCGCCATTGTTTGGTATTTTCGCCCAGGTTGGAAACAGGCTTGCAAACGTTTCTTCACCAAGTAAGGAGAAGTGGGTAGATGAGGATGGCTAGGTGACTGCTCCACTTCTGTTTGAACATATGTAGTTTTAAAGCATAGTTAGTATCCGTAACGTGATTGTTCTTCTGAGGACGGCCTGGTCTATTTGAATATATGTCCTTCTGGGACTTTGTATAAGGAGGCGTGCGAGAATGGTTCAGGTCACCCAATCGCAAGTTTTCGTTCGTATAGTCTGGCGGATAGCTTCTTTCGTGTCAATCCAACTTAGAATATGTCACAGACTCTGTATTGTGCCGATTTCTTCTTTGCTAGAGATTAGTTTGTTGGCTTTGAGAATGCTTTCCGAAGAATGTGTCGTGGTAAAGATCTTGCAGTGATTTCTGAAATCTCCTTTATTTATTAGACTGTAATCGGTTTGTGTTAATCTTCTGTGAT